AATAGAAATATATTAACCAATTAAATTGCTTTATTTGCAATTTTGAAGTTTGCTTTATAATAATTCTGAAAAATTCTAAACCATATTTAGTGACTTGAATTGGTTAGGCTATAATCAGTTAATCGACCCAAACTGAGTAAATTTTAGTTAATCGATTAAAGAAATTCTTAATCGGTTGACCTGGTACAACCGGTTGAGAATTGGATAATCGGTTGCGGGTTGATATAGTATGTAAGGAGGTATTAAAGAATCCAAAAGAAAATGAATGAACATAAAAGACAAGACAAAAATTTGAGCAAAGCTCCAAGAATTTCCAAAGATAGAAGAGATATTAATCTTAACTGGTTGGTAACTAGTTGAATAAAATAATTCAGTTCGGTTAACCAATTAAGGAAATTTTTTTTGGTTCAAGTCACTAACCATATTAAGCTGTTATACCATATTATACAGTATTATACCTGGTATTATACTACCATTTTCTATTATACTGGTATAATCGCATCCCTAAGTATGATTTAAAAAAGTGAATATAATAAAAATTTTTTGGCAAAAATTTATTTAAACATTTATATGAAATTATTACTAAAAACTTGAAAGTGCTAAAACTCAAAAGAACAAAACATCGAAAATAATTATTTTTTTAAAAGAAAAAATTTTTTAATCAATATAATTATTGCAAAAAGAAGTAATTTATTCTTTAATTGTGATGCATTAGATAGTTATGTAAAATTTTAGCCACCTGATCAATAATGTAATTGGTTTTGTTCAATTATCCAATGGGAAGTGGTGGGGAAATTAGTAAGCCCCAGTTTTCCTATAGTTCTCTAAATTGCTACATCATTAATATACTAACATGCTAGAATACTATATAAAATTTATCTGTATCACTTGCAAGCCAAAGTCAGTGTTGGTACTGGATATATGTCCAACTAATTTTTATGTTATTGGACTAGACTGGATATTAAACATAATACTTGGACATATGTCCAGTCCAATATATTCAATAATTCTAAAAAATATAAAAAATTTCTTTTGATAAAAATATAGCCTAACAAAAAAATTTTCTTGAGCAATTTTACTATATATTTCACTAATTTCTAGCCCTAATATAAATGCTAACCTTAACTTTAATGAACTTTTTATAAATTTTATCTTCATCACATGATTATGATTTTCTTAATTTAATACTGTAAAGATTTTTAATTGGCTATTTGTCATATGATTTATATATTACACAATGTCCAATGTCCAATACCTTTTGGTCTAATGGATTGGACTGAACTGGACATAGACTAGATATTGGACATGTCCAATGTTCAACCCAACACTAGCCAAAGTCGGTCAATTAACTCCTGCTATATATAATTTGTGTGACAAAATAACTTCTCATAAAAGTACTAAGACCTTGATTTTTTGTAATCTCAACTTGAGTTGCAGTTCTTCTAAGCTAATTAACAAAGTCTTGATCATATACTAATTTTCCAACTTTTGAGTAAATTTCATATGATTTTAATTCATGGAGTATAAATTTATTTGTGGTAGTTACCAATGCAAAGAAAAGGAGCCACATACATTAGAGTGTATTAGTTTATGAAGGAGAATGTAAGTTTTTTTCGTTGCACTGTTTTTATTTAATATTTTCTGCTATCAAATATGGGAAAGCTTGTGTATGTCTAAGTTGAACTTTGTTATAAAACTCTAAGGAACAGAACAAGAAGCTAGCAGATGCCATATATACTATCAATATTCTCTAAGTATAATATTTACATTTATATATATCTTATTATAGCTATATATGCAAAATGCAAAAATTGACGATATATTAATTGAGATATTTGCTAATTGGGTAGCAGAATATGCCACAACCCATGGTCTAACAAGCAATACATAACTAATGGAAATTTACTACATTGGTATAAAACTATACTTTGAAAATGGCAAAAAAAAAAACGATAAAGTATATTCAAGATAAAATTGATAAAGCCAATAAAATTACAAACACAAAAAACATTGCTAAGGATGCTTTAGTAAAACAGCTTGTTTATTTATTACTTTATTCTTTAATTGTCTATGATTATATTTTTAATAAATATGCTGAGCCAGTGTCCCACAAATGGACTTGAGGTTTACCCTTTATATTATTTGCTAGTAGGTGTACCTTTGATTTGCACTTTTCGCCCATATTTTTTTATATGCCTTCTATTCATTCTTTACTCTATTTTATCTTGTTATTTCGGCGCTTCACAAAAGCCTTGAGGCTTTAGGTTAATTTGGTGGTATAATATATTTAGGCCAGTTTTACATTGTTGCACCACCAATGTGTTTCGAGGTTTACTCTTCATATCTATATTACTGGGCTATTTCTCTTTGGTTGATACACTTTTTTTATAATTATTTATCTGAATTATCTTCTCTTTTATATGTTGAATATGAGGCCAAGTTATCTATAGTTTCAAATAATTCAAATTCTTTTGAGCAATCACATTTTCACTTCATTTTTGCTTTATTTATCAGAAAAATTTATTACACTGCTCTGAGCCCTCCTTAATAATCGTATTTGGTGACTCAAGCCTTCAAGATTAGATATATTACATAGTGTTTCGATCTGCAATTCGACTATTTCGAATCAATCCGATAATTTGGATTACAGCTATTTTCATAAATTCTGGGACATCCTAAAAAAATTTGCCAAAGTCTATTCAGCTGAATTCAATAAGCTATTGATTTCAGTGCTACACATATATAAATTTATAATTTGTTACTATTATTTTTCAAACATATTTATTGAAAAATAGCCAAAAAAACTTAAAAAGCTTCAGTTAGAGTAATTGCTAAACATTTAGGTGTTGTGGGTCGAATTCTCAAACAATTTCAAAGGTTTGGCTGTGTTGCTGAATTACCATCACTTTAAATAAACATTATACATAATTCTTTATTATAATTATATTGGCAAATATTAATAAATTCTTAATCTCTGATTTCAACTTGTGTTGTATTTTTTTACAACCCCTAATCGATTTAACCTTTTTTTTTATTAGTGCTTACTCATGTAATATGGAGTGTTATATATTAAAAAGACAAATTTCAATTTTTTTTTTTTGATTTTGTATAGATACAGTATATTTCAATAAACAGATTTGCTATACTATAAGTTGACAAAGATAATTATATAATAAAAAGATTCATCAAAATAAAAATTTTGTTTTTATTTATAGATCATTTAAATTCAAAGCTGTTTATGTATCATACATATTGGATAAGGCAAAAAAAATTCTAATAAAGTGTTGAAAAAGTTGATATTATTGTAATAGTAACTCAATAATTTTTTTATATACTAATTATACACTAATTATACCGAAATTAATAACTTATCGAATTCGGCCAAATAAACTTCGGTGAATTTTTTAGAGTGTCCCAGAATTTATGAAAACAGCTATAAATGCGGATATCCTTATCTGTCAATTCTAAACAGATAGGATTGAGGATGAGGATTATTCAGATCATAATCCTTACTAGATTAACACATGATACAGAAAATGAAATTTAATATGAACAACCATACTACATATCACTATAGACCACTTTTGTAATATGGCCACCCTACCGGTAATTTGAATTTTTTATATTTTTTATTTTTATGATAAAAAAATATTAAGATAAAATAAAAAAAATCTATATATTAGAAATTTTGATTTTCAACGCATCTGTCTGTGGCATAGTTCTTTTATGCAATATTTGTTCTGTTCGAGAGGAGTTTAATTTATATATCAGATTGAAATGCATATTATGAATACAATAATGAAGACAAAACAGACAAAACAGAAAAACAATAAAACATTCTATTGTTTGCTTTACAATAATATTATAGAGATTCGTTTAGTTCTCATACCAGTCTATCACCAAAAGAAAATCAATAAAATAGCAAAAATTTTTTTAATTAATAATATTGTATTATACTGCATCAGTGTGAGTTAAAGATTAATATGAAGATTATTTAAGTACTATATTGAATAATTAATATTGCACATGTAAATTATGTGAATTAGATAAATTATTAAAAACTAACATATACAGTATTAGTGATAGGCATATCGGCAAAAAAAAGATTCTTTATGAAATTTTAATACTGTATATAGTACAAACATCTATTTTATAATACGAACTTTCTCATCCTAATACCAACCATTAGAGGTTCAATTTGTTAAGGATAATTATTAGATATCTGGATCTGAATTTATTTGGATATTCGTTTACTATTGATATCAAGATTATTCGAATATCTGAATAATCTGAATTATCAGAATAATTCAGATGCAGATGATGAATTGGAACTCTACTAACCATAAAGAGATATTAGGATGATTTTAGAATACAACTTTCTCATTCTAACATTAATTGTAAAAAGCTGTTAGAATGATTATTTTACTTTATTTATTGTAATTATTGTTCATATGTTACATTAATGATTGGCCAAAACTCACATGACTGCTGTCTTCCTTTACATATCGTGTATTATGCAAGGAAGTTTTGGAAATACTGATTATCCACTTTTATCCTGCAGGATATAGTAATGGAAATATTAAAATCCAATCTGTCGTTTAATGACAGGTCTTATATCTGGTAATAATAAAATAAAATTAAATATGTATATTAAAAAAAATTTTTTTCTACTAGCTTAAAATTCGCAATTTTAATTGGTCGATCAATGATTTTTCTGGATTGAATTCGAATCAAATTCAAATTTCTCAATTCAAATTATAACCGGATTCATGGAAGAGAACACAGATTCAATCCAGATAGTCCTGAAAAAATAGGATCGAAGCTCTAATATTACATGCTAAAAACGAACTACAATGCTTCCGTTTTGCTTAATTTACACTCTTTTACCGAACCAGCATACTGTACATGCTATCACATATCTATTAAATTTTATATAAACAATTTTTTTTACTCCATATTGCATACTAATGGTTTCATACGTTTAATTATTGTCATTTCTTCTAGGTGTTCCCCGATGTAGAATCAATCCAAGCAGTCAACAGTTGTTTAAAGCTACTTGTAAGATCATTAGTGATGGTTGATGGCGAGGTTGTAGAAACTGGTATAGATTGCTCCAAACAGCTATAGATGTTCAAAAACAACCTAAATAATACAAGTGGCCTCTGAAAATGCTCTCTGAATGCTGTATCTTTGGCACCTGAGATACTTTTATTATCGTCGATTCTAATCTTCTTGACAAATTCACTTCTCGTTTTGATATTATCACCTATTTGATAATCTTTCAACACTTCTTCAATTTTACGTTTATATAATTTGACTTGACATGTTTGAATATACTCTGTTGGAACGTTAAAAAACTTTGCTGTTGAACCTAATTGCAAATACAATGACAAAAATGGCATATACAAAAGTTTCTCAAGTTTTATATATTCTGGTGACAACTTTGCTATTGCAAAGCATAAGTAGTCATCGTCTTTATTATCTGTAGACCAATTTTTAACTTGTATTAGTATGTATAAAATACGATCTTTGTTAAGTCTTTCATTAAGAGCACTCATATATATAGGTATGATGATATCTACCCCACTGATTTCATTTACATGAAAATGCAACACCGTGCATCAAAGCCTCTCTAGAATTTTCCTATTTGGTGTATATATAATATTGATAAAGTGTGTAAACTTGATGTAAGCTTCACCAAACGTCGTTCCTGTAAACTTTACTTGCATTTTAAGTTTATTCTCAATTTTTTTATAAGCATTGTCTGCGAGTAATAACTTTAAAAATTGATTTATTGTCATGAATCGAGAATAATAATTGCCAACATTTCTGCTACCTGGATAATTATTTTGAATGCAATTATTTCAGGCTTTAAGAAACAATAGTCTGGCAATAAGTTCTCCACAATAACTGGCTGCTATTACATCTTTCCTGTGAGCTAAAGAGAACTAATTAATAAGTTCTGTGAGGCAGATATTTGGATTATTCATTATCCAAGCAGATGCCTCAGCTAGCATGGGTTCACTAGGCATCAATGTAATAACATATTCATAATCATCTAAGATATTAAGATAAAGATGCATATAGCCCATGACTAATTGAGATGCATATCTAGATTGTGGAACTATGTCAATACATAAATGGGGCCCAAAGATGGCTAAAGTTTCAGTAATACTAATTTTATTTTGAGAGTTTTTTTTTCAATAAATAAAAGACTTTCCACCAACAAGCTTGTCCATTGCTAACACTATAACACATTCTGGTTTGAACTCTTCAGCTTCACTAGATGATAGTAATGCACCTTACAAAGGTCTTCCATATTGAAAGAAATGTTGCAGATCTTCAGACATTTCTAGTTTAATTTCTGTATTTAGATCCATTATATCTATATTCATATCTACTGTGCCTAACAAATAAAAAGGCTTAAATAATTGTGCCCCTTCTTCTGCAACTCTTTTGGATAGATCAAGATAGCTAATAGGCAAGAAGTTCGAAATATTTGAATATGTGCTCATAAATATTGCGAAAATTTCTGCGTTTTTGGGTAGATGCTTTAAAGCACGTCGTACATAGTAAAACAGAATTTCATCTCCGACCTTTTGCTTAACCAGAGTATATGCTTCATTGAATACAAACAGACATTTAACTGAACTCTCTCCTGTTGTTATTTTTTGTTTAAAATAGTAATCTTCTACCCTTTCTTCTAATGACTTATTTGTTACATATTTCTTAAGATCGTCCGTGATAACATTTATTCTCTGTTCAATATCTTTCCAGAAGTCCTCCTGAGAATTGTTGTTAGTATATTCATCAATCCATTTTTTGCAACTCTCTTTAATTTCGCAACTCTCTTTAAATTCCCGCAACTTTTAATAACATGCACATATGTATGCAAGGTAGGCATCTATTGCCTTTCGTCTATCACTAAACTCATCTAACAGAGTTTTAGCAATATGTGATCCGGATAGGTAACCACTTGAATTGGAGTCGCGCAAGCAGCAATATACAGTTATTGTATTTTCTGCAGAATGCATCAATAATTTGGATTTTCCTGTTCCACTGGCTTGAATTAATGTTATGTATGATGTATAATAGTCATTGTCCACTTCATATTCATGCAAACACTTTTCAATAAAGAGCATAAACCTTTTTAAAAGATTACTTTGATCTCAAAAATCTCTATTAAAAGCTTTTCGGATAACTTCCTTCTCTTCCTTCGCAAACATAATCAACTTACTTAAACCTATATCGGCTTTTTCTAAGTAGCTACAAGTATCAAAATAAACAAGATAAGTTCAAATTATTTGTAGTTAGCTAATGACTGAATATCATACCTTTTGTTTTATCAAATACCCTGACTGGATTATCAATAGAACATTTCTTTTTTTTAATAAAAGCAATGAAATCCTCTTTTGGCCAGACAAGTTTTATATTTTCATTATTAATAATAAACTCATAACTTTGTAATGGGCCATCGAGATTGAAAAGATTTTTCAAACAGGCATATAATTGATAAAAATCCTCCCAATTATCTGAACGAAAACCTATGACTTCTGAATTAATGTATTGGAAATAAACAGTAACTAAAAACAAATATAATACATTGGTCAACGTAAATAATATACCAAACATTCACATATCAAGATACAATGAAGCGAGAAAATAATAATAGAGATGGGCACAAGTTAATAAATAAAATTATTGCAGAGAAAGCAGTATAGGTTTGGAATATTCGAATGCAGTCATGGTACTACTTACCTTCTCCTTTGCTCTTAATTTTATTTACCAATTCCACAATTCTTTGTGCCAGTTCACTTGGCATACACCATCTTTCAAGTGCTTCCTGTTTTAACTTGAGAAAGTCTGAACCTTCAATTTCCTGTTACGAAGAACCTTGAAATCACTTTCTTCAAGCCTTAGGTTTTGTCCCCTCAAAATTCAATTATCTTCTCTGGCCCCGTTCAGCTTTTTACTTCGTCAATTGTAGGAAGAGAACCTTTTTCTCCAACAGAAGTACCTACTTGCAGAAATAGACATGCTTTGTATTTAGTCAAAAGCGCATGAAAGATAATTTTTTAAAATAATCATAAATCCCTCTGATCATATCATATTAACTCCTCAGGGAAATTCCCAAAATTCCGGGTCGGAAGCTTCAGAACTCTGGTCGGAAGGGCCGAAGGTGATCAATTTTGCCCCAAGATCACTAAGAATTTTACTAATGAAACAATAGTCGTTCATTAAGTGAAAAGTGCCCAGCTGATAATTTTACTATAGCCTATAGCTCCCACTAACCCTATATATATCTTCGAACAAATTAGAATAGCTGATAATTTATAAAAAAAAAAAAAAGATCTAAAAAAAAAAACATAAGTTAAATAGTACCAGTATAATTTATGAAGAACTTACTATGGGCCTTATAGTTTTAATTCTATCAAGAATTCATACAGATCTTTTTTTAATCGGTTATAGTATTAAACTGTAAAGTAGAGAGCAAGGATTAGTCCCTTACGATATTAAAGTCCTAAAGTTTTTAAAGACGATTCCAAAACTTAATTAAGGCTCCAGCCTATAAAACGCTGCTGTTTTCCTAGTTTGCTAATTAACTCTTCATTAATATTCATTAATGGATTGATAATACCAAAATTTACTGTTTTCATTTACGATAATGGTGATACTGAATCTGCTATTTATGTATAGCTTTATCAGCTAAATTAGTATACTGCTATACTTAATCTGAATATGTGATGGCGATGTCCTTTTCAGAAAAAATTAAATTATAAAACCAAAATAATAGTGGATAATGCCACTTCCTTTTGTATAAAAAAAAGAAACTCAAATTAATCAAAATTTCAATTATTAATCGACAATGAAATTACAAAAATTTTGACCTACGAAAGCATGTTAATGATTTCTTTAGTAATTATTTTCTTCTCCATTCAATGTGCATCAAATTATCATCGACATAAAAACTTTAATGGGCCATCATATTATCTATCTTGTCTTTCATATTTTTCAACATTCCGTTTAGACCAAACCACTTTTATTAAAAACTACAGAATGTTACGATATTCACATACAGACTGTGATCTCTTGTCACCAATTTCGATTGATCCACCTTCCCAACTATTTGAACGTCGAGAACACGTCATCAAACCGACCCGTTTAGATTATAATACAGGGAATCAAAGAAATCCCATACAAACTAATAAATTTTATGGAAATTTAATGTTGGATAATGGGCAAGATCCTATCTGGCCGTTACCTTATGGATTGAGATGGGAACGAGGGCAAAATAGAGATTTTTTGGGATTTAGTGTTTCTCATGTTGATGATGATAAGAAGGTTTGTGTATCAGTTTAAGAAATGTCTTATATTAAGAATTTATGATTACACTAATATCTCCGTTAAATCATATATTATATGAATAGGTTTTTGGCCCGGATCCAAATCAAAATCCTGTAGAATTTTATTATAGCTTATACATCCCAACCATCGTATTCTCTGCCAAAGAACTTGGAAGTAACCACGAACTTCTATTATCAAATATGTCAGAATTCTCTTCAACCGTCAAACTATTTCCCTATGATCGTTCTGGCTCTTACATCTCTTTCCCGATTTCTCGTGGAATGACATTTATCACTGCAGAATATAAAGACTTAATTCCATTATTCCATTCAGAGACCGGGTTTAAAAAAATTGAGTTATCACGAAGAATTGCTAATAGATACACTAAATGGAAGTTCTTTTTAAAAGATGACAGTGTGTGGTTATTATATGCTAATGGAAAGTTAACATTAGAAGCAAAGTCTTTGCACAAATTGGAAGCTACCTCAGGACAGTACTCCGGAATTATTCAAGTGATTAAAGTGCCTGCGAGAAATCAGGAAGCTGAAGTGGTATTTGATAATAATGCTGGAACTTATCCAATTGGTGCCGAACTTCATGCTAGTGCTGATGGGTATATTATTATACATAACTCTAAATAAATAAAATAGCAAATAGATAAATAAAATTTAATACCTTTTATAGCACATACACGTTCAACTGGGAAGTTGGAGGTGACAAATCAAAACCCCTCTTAATATACTCACTCCCTCATCACCGTGAATCTTTTACAAACGCGCCATTTCAAACCTCAATCGAACTTTCCACTCCCACAAAAGGAAAAGCTATAGCATACATTGGCAATATATGGTCATTTATTGAACCAAATTTACCCACCGATGTTGAATTCCTGCCAACAAATTTAAAATCAAGGCTATCCGACGATAAGAAAATGCAGATCCTAGAACAAGCGAAAAAAGATTTAAAATTGGATTTTAATAAAGAAATTTTAACGGATTCAATATATTTTTCGGGAAAGAAGCTATCGAAATTTGCCCTTTTGTGTTTGGTTTTAAATGAAGGATTGAATGAACAGAACCTTGGAGCTATTTGCATTGATAAGCTTGAAGTTTGTGGTCTTTATTCTGTGTTTATGCATTTAGTTAAATTTTTATTCCAATGAGATTCCTTCATATCACTAATTTCAATATCTTATTTATACTAGAAAATAATGGATACTTATGCTCAGAATCGACAACAAGCGAAACTAGTTTATGATACTACATGGAAAGGTATTGTCGGTATTAGTGGATTCACGAAAGGTGCTAATACCGACTTTGGCAATACTTGGTACAAGTAAGTAAGTTAATATTATTAATATTGATAACACATTCAAAAATATCAATGTATATTAATCAAACATGTTTTGTTCTTGCCTTAAAAAGCGATCACCATTACCATTATGGATATTTGATATATGCAGCAGCTATTCTACGTCATCTTGATGAAGAATGGGGAAAACAAAATGAAATTTGGGTAGATAATTTAATCCGTGATGTTGCCAATCCTTCTGCAGAAGATTCATATTTCCCTGTTTTTCGAGCCTTTGATTGGTTTAACGGGCATTCTTGGGCAAAAGGTAATTTAAAATTTTCATTCTACTTGCTTTTCACCATGTACAGTATATAATCTCAAATATTTAAACTTTACATAAAGGATTATTCTCATCGGTGGATGGAAAAGATGAGGAATCCACTTCAGAAGATGTAAACTTTTATTACGCAACGAAACTTTGGTCCATCGCTTCAAATCGCCCAAATTTTACTAAACTTATGGATTTAATATTAGCTATTCTTTCAAGATCTTTAAGAAATTATTTTTTGATAGAAGATGATAACAAGAATCATCCAGAAAAGTTTATTAAGAATAAAGTAACAGGAATATTTTTCGAAAACAAAGTTCATTACACTACATACTTTTGTTCTAGAGTTGGTGAGTCGTACTCTTAAAATGAACGAGATGGTATACTTTATAATCCTTAACATGTATTTTGCGTTGTAGAATGTATTCATGGAATCCAAATGCTTCCGATAACACCTATAACATCTTATACACGCAACAAGAATTTTGTAAATTTCTTTAAATAATCAAATTTATCTATGCAACCATATTTTCCAATTTAAAAAATACCTCATTTCTCTTTCTTTTAAACAGGTAATGCAAGAATGGAACCAAAAATTAGGTCCAATAATAAACTCTTTGAATGACACTTGGAAATCAATCTTATACGCGAATTATGCAATAATAAATCCTGAAGCAGCATATCAATTCTTTTTAAATAATCATGACGCATTACTTGATGATGGGTTAAGTAGAACTTGGGCATTATTTTGGAGTTCTATCGCTGGCTGTGATGACACTTTGTGATGATTTCATTCTATAAACATCACCAAGTTATTATGATTCGAGACATTTTATTGATTTAGACCAAAATATAGTATTAATCTAGAAAATTATTTCGAGAAAAAACTTGGAATAGGAAGATAATAAGTATAGGAATCCTAGTTAGTGGAAGGAAATTTACAAACCTGACCATTAATGGCATCTCTTTGGGCGTATTTTTTTATTTGTATGCCATTTTGCAACTTTTTTTTATAAAGAGGGATCCTATGGGCTCTTTATTTTTAAAACATGATTTCAGAAAAAATACATGTATCGATGTGTATATTTCTGTCTGATGACTTACAACAAATCTAAGTTTTTAATATATTTATATATTTAAAAGTGCTTGATAACTTGATTTATAAAGGATTTGATTAATAATTTGCTTGTTTGGTTTATTAAATATCATACTCAAGAGGCTTTCTCAATAGCGGCTAAAGCTTGATCTGCCGAAAAAAAGAATAAGACACATTCGAAAAGAGTGCCAGATTGTAGCGCAGAAATTTCCTGAACTACAATATAATGTTTTAAATCAGTTTTATATTGTTCGAAAACAAATACCAAGTGACTTGATTATATGTTACGATAATTACAAAACATTTGCGTAATAACTACGAAATAAATCTCCTTTCATAAGAGGAATTTTTTAATTTAAAATTTAAATCAAACTTTAATATGAATAAATTTAATCATTTTGCAGTCGATTAAACTATCGATGAACATGAGTAATTCAATTTGGATCCATACAAAAGGCTAAATTTAAATTTCTTTCTGTGTAAAAAGGAATTTAATCGATTAAAAATTTATTACTCTTAATATAAAGGTTATGATTTAAATCTATTCAACATAAGAATTTACGATCAAAAAAAAAAAAAAAAATTCATTATTCTTAATTAACGTAACAAATTTAAATTTTATTTTTATTCAATCAAATGTGTAATTATTTATTTTCATTTCAGTTTACAATTTTAACTAGACGCGCTATGCTGCGAGCTTTTATCTGCCTCTGCATCTACCCTGTTATGGTGCAAAACACACCTTACTCCTTAAAAACTCCGCTACTCTCTCCTCCAACAAATCTCCCTTCGCTTTGCTCGACATATCTTCTTCGAATTCTTCATCGCCAACAAGGTACATTACGTATAGCATCTTTTTTTAAAATCGTCGCACTTTAACTTATCCATGCCGGTATGGGATATAGGTACTTCAATGGTTCGTCCTTGGTGTTTCAAAATTAATCGTTGCTCGTCGAAATAGAGCCATATAATTTTTGACTCCCTACCCAACGCCTATTTTAACATAAACCTTAAAATCTACACTAACGTCCAAACACACAAAGTAACGTACTTTCCAAAGATGCTGTTGCGAGTTCCGTCACAAGACCCATCGGAAAAACCAAAATTTGCGAAAGAATAATGAATAACGATATGAAAAAAACGAAATACAAGTAACAAAGAAATTTAATACTTACGAAAAACCAGTACAAAAACTACAAAAAAAAAAAGTACCGAAAACGACGAAAGAAAAGAGACACGACACCAACGACGAAAGAGAAAAGAGACACCAAAAGGGACGACGTCAACAACGAAGGAAAAGACGACACCGAAATAGACAACTAGAAGAAAAAATTAGAAAGATAAATAAAATAAAAGAAACTAAAAAAAATAAATTAATAACGATATATAAAAACACTTACTTGTTTCTGCTACCGCGTAGAAATAACGTTTCGAAGCTAAAAGTTTATGTTGACGAAATAACTCGAAAAAAAAAAGGGACGTTATGCCGACAAAACACTATGTCGATATAACGTCCCAAATAAAAAAAGTAAAATTTAAGGGTGTTTACAACTTTAGGAGGGTGTTTACAACTTTAGAAGGGTGTTTACAACTTTAGGAGAGTGTTTACAACTTTAGGAGGGTGTTTCCGACTTTATAAAGGTGTTTCCGACTCCTATAGAATCCTATAGCTAGAAGCGGCATACAGCTCACGCTTAAGAATTATTTCAGTCTCCTACTAGGATCCCAATAGGCAGAAGCTTTTACTTAAGGAACATAACCATTCCCGTTTGTGAAAACAGTAGACCTTAAGTGTAAAAAAATGCGAAAAAGCTTCACGAGAAAAAAAATTTTTGTGACTGATAACTGATATTTATATAATTTTGATCAGTCACTGTGGCGCGATCAAAACAATCAACAAATCAACAATCGCGTTATTAAATATTCACATGATCAGTCACTGTGACGCAATCAATCAATCAATCAATCAACAATCGCGTTATTACAGTATTAAAAAATTAAAAAATAACAAAAACAATACACGCATCACCAACTATATTTTTACGCGAATTACGCGCGCTAATCATTAATTTATTTATAATATACTAATGTTATACGATTCACTTGTCATAGCAATTTTCCCTGTATTTTCATATTGTGATTCCCGATTTAAATGAAGTTTGTATATTTATGTAGTAAATGGATACCGAATATATATTTATAATTAACTCAAGTTGATTATTGTAGTGATCGTATATTTTTATTAATTTGCAACGAATTTCTATCAATTTGATTAATAAAGACAGTATTCTAACAGGCATTATAAAACTTTTATTTCACGAATCACTTATACAGTATAACAATGCAAAGTGATAATTTTTTGTATTATAAAACTTTTATTCACGAATCAATTATACAGTATAACAATGCAAAGTGATAATTTTTATATATATTAAGTATCGGATAGACTGAGAAAACATGGTTGCTGATTCTGAAACAACGTTATTTTTCATTCAGAATCCATTTCCACTTATAGCACATATATATATATATATATATGAACATAGTATAATATTTGAGAACACTTATAAGTATTATTATTTGAATCTGAAATTTTAACACTGAGGGCGTTCTCAAGCGCCTCAATTAATGGATCAAAGTATGCCAAAAATATGTCGGGGATTAAATTTTAATTAACGGAAAGTAATCTTAATCGATCAATCGAACTTGTCATTAAGATGAGTAAGGTGTTTATTACGTGAAAAAAAATTTTAAATAGTAAAAAATGAGAAGTGAGTTTGCCATTTCAGTCAAAAAACATTTTGTCCCTAACCACCTTTTTTTTTGCCCTGACTTATCAAAACTTTATAAATATTAAAATGAATAAGTATTGTTCAAGTGTTTTCATACTTTTATTATGGATTTTAGTCAACCAATCTAATTTCTTGGATTTGTTTCTGATTTGAGGTACATTTATTAGAGATTTTGTCTGGCACAAATATATTTGAAAGTCTATGACAGGTTTTTTCTTGATAGGACTTATATTTTTTGTAAATTTTCGATAAACTATTTAGAATCCTCTCAACTTGTGATTGAGATCTTTATTTTGACCTATCGTTCCTATGTTGCAATTGAGCATCACTACAATTATTAAAAAATCATAGTAATAACAATGTTTGAACATATCTCAATAATATCGTCATTCGTATTATTGACTTTTATCCAAAATGTTATGGCAATAGATGAAATTACGTCAGAATACTTGTGCACTATTTAGATCACTATGAATTCGCATCTCGGTTGATGCTTGAGAACACCCTAAATCTGGTTTTGTCTACAAATTTTTTTAAAAATAAAATTACAGAATTAAGCTTCGTATCAACAATAGCGGAAAATTTTTGAGAAGTAGACAGTTGCAGCTAGTAATGACCTCTTGAATTAATAATAATAATAATTATCATTTGGCCGAGTTATTAAAAGCTTAATAATGTAAGCGCAGTAAACCAATCAAAAAACTATTTAAAAAGTATTATTTAATTTATACACTGGTGAATATAAAAATATGTTCAAAAATAAATTATCAACGTGTTGGAATAATTTCTTCGTTAGAATCAAAAATATCTACATATTGGATACTTCAGAATATATTTATCATTATCCTCTATTTAATTCTGACTTTTAAAGTTTGATTCATTACGATTTTTTGCGCTGATAGAGAAATTTTTAACAGTGATTGAAATTATTAATGATTAATATTAACTAAAAACTCAAAGGTCTCATCATAAATTTTGGGACAATTGACAAAATTTAGCCGAAATAATTTGGCCAAATTCAATAACAATAAGATTTTGATTTCAGCACGATCAGTAATAAAAGCATTGATAGAATGATACAGTATCATCACGCTATTTTGTCCCTTTTATGATACGTTATTGTAAGGATAGAAATTATAAATGCCCATAGATTCTCGTACCATGGGAGCGAACTAAACCCATGCTAAAAAAGCGGTTCGAGTTCAGCTCGATATCGAACTTATAAGAGCATGTTCAAGTTCAGTTCGAAAGTTCACGAACTTGTTCGGGTTCAATATATTCTTTAACTAGCGCTTAGGACCGGGCCAGTATGGGCCAAAAAGAATATCGGTCTTCATATAGCATAAAATTATTGTAACAAACATATATAGCCTGATTTTGTTGGGTTTAGATTATGTGCACAAGTGTAAGTAGAGCACCAGATAAGACTAAAATTTATAATTAATATATAAATTTTCAGAAAATCAAGTTATGTGTATAATAAATCAGCACGAATAATAAATTAATATATAATAGATATATAGATTATTTCAAATATTTCGATTAATACAGTAAATAATATTGACTGAATCGACTTGAATAAAAGATTGTTATCGACTAAATCAGCTTGGATAATTTCCGATTAAATTAACCTAAATAAGTGATAACCTTACCGAGATAGAATAACTTAAGGAGCAGCAAAAATTTGGCATATTTTATACTATACTTATAGACTGATTTAATATAAATATAAAGAAATGGCTTATTTTAAATACACCCAGTATTATGATCATCACTGATTAAATCAATGAAATAAGAAATCAATAAGAAGAGGTAGATTCATAATTTGAATGGAATCTATAATAATAATAGTTAGGTATATCCCGAACCCAAACATGTTCATGAACTTCGAACCAAACTTCTAATCATATTCGAGTTCAGTTCAGGTTCGAAGATTTTATGTTCAAGTTCAGGTTCAGGTTCAAAATTTTCAAAATTCATGGTTCAGGTTCGGGTTCGATCAGACCGAACCCGAACCCTAATCGGACCGAACTGAACCTAGGAGTCTAGGTGCAGGGTTGGCACATTTATCCATTGGGAGAACAGCTCCATTGAGAATAATTTGTAATGGAGCCAATGGAAACCATTGACATTACTTCATTACTCTATCGAGAGCAACTTCTGAATGGAACCAATGGAAGCCTACAATTTTATTAATATTACTCCATTAATAACATTTATTTAAATGTAGATATAGTTAAATTGATTACATATTGTACCGGTAAACACTGTAAATTTAAAACGGGATCAATTTTATTTTTATTCGTCTGACCTATTTACAACAAGTTAGATTTATTGGGCATACTGGGTTAGAGAGCACCATTGGCTTCTGTTGGTAAGTTTTTCAATGGAGTATATTTATTGCTAACCCTGCATGGATGAATAAAAAGGATCGCAAGGAGCAGTCCTACGTCCTTAACAAGTATATTTAGTAATGAGCAAAATCATTTGTTTCTAAAAAAATTATATCCTGAATATTATATTTATTATTTACTACATTCGAAGGTTTTGTGTATACATTCTTGTCCCAGTATCACATCTCATTCTTTAAAAACACTAAAGCCACAATATAACTTTATACCATCCATTGTTCTTTCATTATTATGCGAGCAAAATATATTTATCATTTATAAATTTTTATTATTAGAATTAAACACATACATACATAGAATCTGATGCTTGTCTAATACTGTATGCTTATTCGAACTACGTAGTAACGGTAATAATAAAATGTATATACATTGTATTAATGCCAAAATCAAAAACTTATCGAGTTCAGCAGAATAATTATCGGTCAATTTTTTATCTGTTGTCCCAGAATTTGAGAACAGCTGTAATGAACATAAAACACGAGCATGCCGGTCGGAAACTCTTGGATAATAGGAAATTATTTTTACATTAAATCACAGAAATGTTTCTAATACTATTTATAGAATCGCCTACTATCGCAGAATACATTTAAAAAACAATCACATTAAATCACAGAAATGAACGCAGAATCTAGTCTTAATCACAGCAGAAAATCATCGCCGAAATGTCTGACCACGTGATTCCAGTACATAACTTATAAGACATACCGTACATGCGGACGGTACTATATCAATATTTATTCTTATTCAGGATGTCAGGTACAACAAGCTCCGCAGCATCTCAAGAAAGAATTATTTTGAACGTTGGCGGTGTGAGGGTAAATTAAATTAAACTACTTGACAGTACATTAAAATTAAAATTTTAAATTTAAGCTTTTTTTTTAAATACTAGTATGAGACTTATCGTTCTACTCTAATTGCTTATCCGACAACACTTCTTGGAACAATGTTTGCCGATAGAAATAAAGAGCTGTTGTGTCCAGTTAATGGAGAGCATTTTATTGATAGAGATGGACAATTATTCCGATATATTCTACAATTTTATCGCACGGGAAAAATCTGTTGCCATGACGTTCACTTGACTAACACCTCATCCAATGACGCCGCATCAACAATCCCTAATCTTACAATTTCTCGTGAAGAATTATTTTCAGAAATCGATTATTTTCAACTTCCAATTCCATTACCGATATTTCAACCTGAACCCCCACTATTATCACAACAAGCTCAAAAGGCAGCTGCCTCAAAACTTGATGAATTTATTCAATCATTTCAGAAATCTATTTTTGAAGCAATGCAATATTTTGAGACCACTATACCATTTACATTTCATCGAATAGTACGAGATAATCAAGAATTTTACTGGAATGAACATGAAAAAGTTTCACCATTTGTTAAATATCTCAGACCTTTTGCACCTTGTGTTGGGTATGAACTTTTGGATAGATTTGGCGCAGAAATTGGAAAACAATTAAAACTTAAATTTGGAGATGATTTAGATTGGAAATTAGAGAAACATTCTTCACATATGGATACAAAAGTAGATTATTATAGATTAGCTATTAATATTCCTGAAGAAGTTTATGATAATAATAAAATTTTACAATATTCGGCTTATTCAGATTCGTAATAATTAACATAGTCAATTTAATGTTTTTTTTAAAACATATTAAAGAATACCTAAATTATTATTATTTATTTGTATTAGTAAAAGCGGTAAATAAATTATTTTAATAGAGCTGATTAATAGCATAGCGAAGCCTTACTTTTTATTCTATAATTTTAAAGTGTATTAATCATCCTCATCATCATAATCATCAACAACTTTAAACCAATGATTTTTTTCTTGATTCGTAATTTTTTGTTCAAGTTTTTTTTGATCAATTTCACTTGGTTGACATTTATCCTTATCATCTAGTCCCAAAGCTTTTCTTTCTTCTTTTAATATTCTCCATTCATCTAAAATTTCCCTCCAAGGTAAAAAATCATCAAATTCTAATTTAATATGTTCAATGGAATAATTCTTTTTAGGTCTATCTATAATATTATTGTCACCACTTAGCACTATATCATTTTTAAAATCTTCAATGTCCCAACCAAAAGCCAACTCTTTAATCATATCTTGATCTAATTCTTTCGACCAGTGTAATTTCCATTGTTTAAAAATTTTTGGATTTTCTTTTGGGAGGTTTTCAGTGAAGAATCTCCTAAATACATTTCTTGCACAAATAATTCTTTTTAGTATACAAGGTCTTATTAATAAATTTTCTTTAAGATGTTTAACTTTATAAAAATCTTTAGAAATATTATCCACTCTGAATGAATTATCAACGTGAATTTGAAATCTTTTTGCATCGAGATAATGATGAAACCCTGTAATTGCCAGTATTGGATCCCACCTTCTAGAAGGTAGTGAGCGTCTGTAACCTGGGATTCTGATGTAATCATTAACCTTTTTGATCTCGTTCTATATTGAGTTGTAATAGAATAATCAAAAATATAAAAAAAATTTATTTTTAAAGAAATTAAAGCATGTAAAAATATAATACTTTTTTTTTTGGTTACCTCAAATTCGGTGGTGGCCCCGGTCATTCCAATTGATTTCCTTGAAGCTTTAATAATGTAAAAACAGGGAATTTTTGCCCACTTAGCTTTCATTATTAACTATTCGAGTGAAAGCTTGAAAGATCGATGATCGTCGAATCTAGCGCATTTTATCTGAAAGTGAATGATTATAATCAGGTGATTACGATAAATAATCAAATCGGATAAGAGAGTAAGGTCACCTATTGCTATCGTCATGCAGGAATTCTTTAGGATTTGCATTCTGAAAGAACTTTGTATCAAGAGAACGTGTTCTTAATATACATCTATGGTACAAGGATCAGTTCTGGAAAGACCGAATAAAGATCAATCTTTTATTCGGTCTACGATTATTCGGTCTCCGGTCTTGAGACCGGACTTTATAAACAGTTAATTAATTTATTACTCCGATAATGAAGCGGTGGGAATTAGTAAACCCCATAATTGCATATATTGATTTCGGCTAACCAATAAAACGGTTAGTTGCAGCAAATATGCTTTTAAAACATATACAGATATCATAGATTCTTACCTACCGTATAAGTGTGAAATAACGCACATGGGTGTTATTTTGAATAGTGGCCGGAATTAAACTTAATTTAGGCCAAATTTCGTAATTACACTCTTGGGCGGATGTTATTTCCGCTTATACGGTACCTTACTTTTTTAATCTCAGGTTAGTGGAAATAGCAATAAAAACTTCATTTTTTTTTCAAATTATTCCTGTTAATCTGAGATTGAAAAAAAAGTTGTAGTTTTCTTATTTTTCGAGCTTTACGATAATTTGATTTCTGATCTACAACTAAATAATTGTATCTATTTAAAGCTATATATCTTGTTTTTTTTTTTATTTAGAGACAAGTTTTTAATGATTTTGACGAATAAAATAACAGCATAAATGGTTTCAAATACATAGCGCGTATCCTTCGAGGCCCGATGTCTCATTTTCCTTTGGCAATACTCAAATGATTTCTATACATTCCGGATTCACTTCGGGTTCAACACGTTAAACTTTTATTATTTCAACACAGGTCGAATGAAGGCAAATCAGGCTCCAACCGGCATAACGTAATCCCGGTATGAACCTCATTTGAAACAGATATTTGACGGAAATACCTTTAGGATACTAATCGGGTTCATGTAGACGTTCAATACATATAGGGTAAATCGATAAAGCTTGCCTAATAGCTTTATCGATTTACCTATAGAGCTATCGGCCTATATGAACCCGATTAGTATCTCCTATTTCCGCCAAATATTTGTTTCAAATAAGGTTCATATCGGGATTACGTTATGCCGGTTGGAGCCCGATTTGCCTTCATTCTTTATTTTTTATTTCCAATCAACTATCCTATATTATCTCATACTACGATATATTATCCTTTTTGACATCAATTTCGTACAAAAGGGCATTTAATTTCGTACAAAATGACATTCAATTTCATACAAAGTGACATTCAATTTTGTACAAAGTGACATAAATTTATACAAAGCGACTGTACAAAACGACAATTAAAATAAGGTTGATTAGATCGTAATATCTCGTGATCTAGTGGTCAAATTTAGTTAATTTTAGTACCATTCGAATCCTCTCGATGAGATGATTCAAATGGCACCAAATTCATCTAAATTAGATCACTAGATCACAAGATATAATGATTTAATCAAACTTATTTTAATTGTCATTTTGTACAGATTTGAATGTCGCTTTGTATGAATTTAAATGCCACTTTTGAATGTCACTTTGTATGAAATTGAATGTCATTTTGTATGAATTAAATGTCCTTTCGTACGAAATTGATGTCAAAAGGGATACATATAATATCGTTCATTCATCATTTATCTTCGTTACATATGGGATCTTTGCTAACAAAATCATAGTCCCGAAGGGTCATTTTGTTAGCAAAGTCCCAGTATGATAGAACCATTATACACTTACGACGAATCAAGTTATCTTTATTATAACCAATTCATAGAATCAATATAACTTCGAAAAGTGGACATAAAAAATTTAATATCATAGGTAAGCAGATTGTAATTAAGGAATATCATTTGATTGTACAAAGTTTGCCTCAAATTTTAGGCTGAATGATAAAAATTTTTGAAACTAGCATTATTAGTTGGTTAAACAATAATGATGCATATATTTTCAAGGTAGTGACTACTGCTGGAAAGTTTCGCAATTAGGCATAATGCAAAAAAACATAATTTTGTATGGGATGATTCACGCGCTTTACATAATCACTATCACCAACTTTTCGTATAGCCAAATTTTCCTTTGTCAATTTCTTTAACATTAGATAGTCTATCGATCAATTACATTCCCGTATTTAATGATTCTACCCTGACGCAATCATCAATATTCTCATCTATCCTTGAATATTATGTGGTTCACATGTTAGACACCATCACATAAATCATCTTTATGCTTACCCACTAAAATTGAAGTGAATGAAATGATTTGAAGCAATGGCGAATAAATATTTTATGACTGATTAATAAATTATCTTTATACTCACAGACTAAATAAATATATTATTCCCGCAACAGCGAGAATAAGAGTTTATTATTTGTTTCTATATGAAGTCATGGAGCTTTACGACTCATAGTCACTACTTTACAGTTGTTCTCATAATTTTTGAGACTAATAAAAATTGGTCGCTACAGTAATTCATTCGAAGTCAATAAGCTTTTGAATTCGGTGTTATTGGATATTATTACAATGCATATTTTTTATTATTACCGTAAATTCTCGAAATAGCGGGCATCTGCGCGCTATTTTGACTACGTGCGCGTTATTTCGAATACGCACATGGGCGTTATTTCGAGATAAAGTATTAATTCTGCAATCCGATTGTTAAATAAGTATCAGGTAAATATCAGATACAAGACTACCGATATGCTATATTTAGTGATAAATCAGGTGCATGTCGGGAGTTTTGTATCCCGTTATTTACCTGATACTTGCTCTTCGGGGTGCGCGCTATTCAGGACGTTATTTCGAAACCACCTATGCTATTTTTAGGAGGCGCGATTTTCGAAATAACCCCGCCCGCTATTTCGAGAATTTACGGTACCGTTACTGGTCAAACATGAAATAGAAATTTGGAAAGCTTGCCCGTTTGAGTATTAACAAAGAACAGTAAGTTTTCTGTGGATTGAATCTCGTGCAATTTTATGTATTAAACTTTCAATATTTTTAGAAAGACAAAGCCCAATTTATTCTGTTAAAAAAAAATAAATCTGCAGACCGACAAGAACTCTCAATATATAGCTATCTTATTTACACAATAGTAAAACAATTTTGTTTTAATGGGAGATAAGTGATATGTTATAAAGATTTGTATATATGGGTTTTGAACAGATAAGGGCTAGGCGCTGGAAAAAGAACAAAAGGAACAAGTATTTTACAGATCAGTATAGTATAGGCCGATTTTTAAATCTATACTATACGGACCTGGTATTATATATATGAGCGTTAGTTTCTTTTTTTTTTTTTTCCAAAAGAGGTCTTTCCTCTATTCTCTTTATTAAAAATATGATTGAATTACATAGTAAGAATACATGTTGATTTATAGGGGAATAAGAAGTTAGAGCTATCTATTTCTAGAATTTACTCATGACCCATTCTTGGCTAGAAGGGTCAAGACCTCTAGGCTATGCTATTAGGGTTTGTAATATTATGAGTAATAAATTGTTGAAGCCAGGTAAGTTGGAAAGTTGGAACTTGTTTTGAGAACTTTTTTGTTTTAACTTTTGTAGGTATTGGATTAATGTTTCGGATCGGTGTTTGTCAGTTGCATCGACTTGGTTTTCATATTTTTTCTTGAATTGACTTTAGAATTTTGTGGTGTAGTTCTGCAGCTAAACTGGTATTAAGTTTCTGAGTTGCAAATGGTCCTAATGAACTGTCACAAATGATTCCTAGAGGGATTTGTTGGGTACAGTATGTTTCAGTGAAGCTTTTGACGAATTGGTCAAGGTGTGGTGCCGTCACCATATGTTTTTTGCGAATCTTGTTAACGACTTGAGTAATAATTTCTTTGA